CATTATCTGTGACTGCTGAGTCAGCGTTTTCTCTATTGTTTTCAGTTCAGTTTCCTGGTTAGGCTTTGGCTCAAATACTTTGTGTTATTTTAATCATTCATACACCAAAGCGTTTAAAAGAGTTTGACTTTTATTTGTAACACTTTTTATTTTGGAGTTAACTTTATTTACAAAAGTTTTCTCTAAGTAACTTATTGAGGTCTTTCCAATTCCTTTAAAGTCACTATTCTCTCCAAAATCTGATGTTTTTTAAATTTATTTCGCTTTTTTTTAGCTTTTAGCTGCTGTTTTGTAAACTTTATATTTTAGTTAATTTAACCGATTGGTTTATTTAGATATTTGGGTAGAATTTTCGATAGCTTTTACAATGTTTTTTAAGTTTATTTTTGCTAGATTAGGCTTTTATCTGCAGTTTCGCTAATTTTACCTTTTTAAATATAGTTTAGCTACATTTTTGCTACATTTTTCCCAATTTTATGTTTTTGTAACAACTTTGCTAATTTTACATTTCAGTTTTTGTTTTGCCAATTTACAATAATGTCACATTTAGCTTTTAGCAATGGTTCAGCTAATTATAAGTTTTGGTTCTAGTTTTACTGCTTGTTTTTTATTTTGTTTTACTTTTAACAATTCATTAAATTTAGTTCCGTCTTCAACAAATATCAGCAGTCATTAAGCCTCTGCTCTGCTTTTTTATGAGATATATATTGGTGATTAATTTAGTCTGGAACATGTTGCAGAGGAGTGAAGAACCGGTTGGACCCACTGCTGTGATGTTTACGTGTTGGTGCTGTGCCACGTTTCCTACGATGTCCCGTCCAGGAGAAAGTAGCTTCTTGTTACACACGCAGCGCACCTTCTGTGTTTAGATTAGCTTATTTTTAGTCCTCCTGTGYTTTGCTGTTCCAGCTTGAAGCTGTGGCTTACAGTATTTAGCATCAGTCAAACTGTCACATGATGAGGTTTATTGTTTGTGTCCTAACACTTCACATGAACCGAAGCGTTCACATGTGACCTTTTAGATTTGTCCTGTTTCAGCTTCCTGTTAGACTGACTGATCAACACTTCACATTTTACCACTTTTTTCTGAAACAAACAACACGAAAATAGTTATTTTTGTGTTGGCTAAGGTTGATTAGTTGTGGTGATTGATTTCAAATGATTTTAAGCTTTAAATATAGAGCCAATGATTTTGAGTTTCATTAAAATCAGACCAGTGATATTTTGCTAACAGACACACAGACAGTCTTGTATGTATTGTAGTTACCAGACAGTTTTGTTTTATTCACTTTCCTCTGTGTTTCTGTTTTAATCAGGCAGACAGAACTGACAATARATCATAAAGCCCACCTGAGCTGACCCAGACTGGACTCAGAGGTCCATGTGGCCTTTTGTTTTTCTGACCTCAGTGGACTGCGGCTATAAGTTTCAGTCAGGCCCCCCCTCTTTTTTTTGACTCTGTGGATCCTAAAGTGACTATCAGAAACAGAGAGTCCACAGAGATATGACAGAGGCCCTGCTGGAAGATCAAATCCTGCAGCTGCTGCTGATGTTAGCAGAAAAAAGCAGGTCAGATCTTTGAAGCACGACACACCAATCAGAGTCCAACACACTGCGCTTTGATCGATTTTCTTCTTCAGTGTTTCATGGCCTTATTTTTACTGCTCAGAGTTAATAATGGTTTCTTTGAAAGCAAACTGAAACATTTCAGAAAGCTGCAGGGAAACGTCAGCGGGAGGTGTCTGGAAGGGTCAAACGTTAGTTTGCCAGCGGCTGCAGGAAGTATCCTGCACAATGTTTTTCAATTACAGGGAAGTGAGCCAACATGGACTAAAAGTTGACTGTATAAACATGTTTTGTTGCTGGAGACAGTTGCGTGAGAAGAGGGAACAATCAAACTGTACGTTCAGCTCTTGAATTGTGAACATTTATTTTTCAAACCTTGTGAGACATCGAATCTCACAGAATAAAATACGACTTTAGAGTTAAATATTTTTAAAGCATCCAGGACCAACAACTCTAAGCATGAAATGGAATATTTTTATTATTTTAACATCATCTTATTTGCAG